ATCCATGGGCAAATTTTCAGGTCGAAATTCTTTAATTCGATTTTTTGAAAATCCCTAGTCGCATGCTCAAAATTCCGTAAAACGGTCTTAACTCTTCACAGATAGACCATGGGCACGAATCCTTTTAGGGTTTTCTTAGTCTCATAGAGACCTACCTTATAGCCATAATATGGAATCGAACGGCGTCCGTCAGTTGGGGACCTTCCCTCGTGAGTATATGCCCGAAAGTTTTGCAGCGACCAAATTCCAGAGAAGTGTCATTTTACGTATCTCAAGTTCTGCATGTGGATGGCACGTAAATTCAAGACCCACATACGTACGTTAGCGTAAGTGTGACGAACTTTTCATTGGACTTGAGATAAATTAAACCTTTTCTGTAGATTTAAGAGCTCTCTATCAGTGTTGGATTCTAACTAGGTATTTCTATTCAATGTTTTCGATGTTTCTCACAGCCTATTCGTATGAAAAGTAAAAAAGAAGGAAAAGAAGGATTTTAGGAGAAAAGAAGGACGATCTAAAAAAAGAAGGAAAGAAGGAGCGCTGCGAGGCCTGTATTGATTCCTTTAAGTATGCATGTTTTTTTTTCATTCTTTCCGTACACTATTATGAACGTACTTCTCTATGAGCGAAAATCACTATATTCAATATTGAGCAATTTGATATTGTCGTTATTGACGACACCATCTATGATAAAGCATAAACAAAGATATATATGTCAGCGTTCAAACTGAGATTACGTCCAATCTCGGATTGAAGTAATACTGCTCACTAAAATATCAATAACTCTTTAGATAGACGTTGGATTCGAACTATTTTTTGAAATTATGTTCGCACAATGTCGTTTTAAGTTTTACAAGCATTTAGGAAGAAGTTAAATTTAGACTCAAAAATTTAATAAAAATTTTTCACGAAAGTTGTTGTGCCCTAGAAATTTATTCATAAATCCTAAAATTTTACTCAAATCTGTCAAATGACAATTGTACCAAACCAAGTGACATCGTGTGAACATAACTGAAAAAAACACAATTCCAATCCAACGTCTATCTAAAGAATTATTGATATTTTAGTGAACAGAATTACGTCAATCCGAGATTGGACGTGTCCAATCTTGTATCCGACATTCGCCTAAACCAATCTCAGTTTCGACACTGACTTATATATGTAAGATAGAATTGACAGTATGTGTCATTTATAATCGAATATGCACCAGTCAATTGTTGTTATTGTTGCTCTATATGATGAAATGTTGCTTACCATTTTCAATAAACTGAACAATATTGATGTATTATATTCATTAATAGAAATGAATGAAAAGTTCAATAGATTGACTCAGAATATTAATTTTACACGATCCATTGATTTAGTAAGAATAATATCAAATGAAAACAACAGTTCAAGAACGAATTCAATACAATATTCAATGCCTTACTCTTGATTCATTATCAATAGACTGTGTCCTTTCCATTGGAAATTATCCTAAACTGAACAAACTTAATCTTATTAATCTTGAACTTGAAATGACATCTCGTATTTTCAATGGTATGTATATCGTCTTTTCTCTCATTCTTAAAAATACATAAAACAAAGACGGATAATTTAATTTATTGTATACATTTAGATGAATCATCATTTATTCATATCTTTAAAGATAAGATTTTACATTTGAATGTTACAATTAATGAAAATAGAACATCTGAACATCTACGAAAATTATCTACAAATATTTTTACAACTATTTTAATAATGTTTACAAATTTGAATTATCTTCATTTCGATTTAAAAGACGTTTTTATGTATCCATCAACATCATTTATTAATTTACTATCTAGTAGAAACTGTTATTCATCGAATATTGTTCGTGTAAATGTTAGATTGCGTTATTTGAATGATTGTCTTTGTTTACTTAATGAAGATTTTAGTCAATTACATACATTTATTGTAAATATTGATAGAATTTATAAGACAACAAACATAATTAAAGATAATAATTATTTTATTTAAGAAAAAGATGAGAACGATAATATTTTATGTTCTATTTATTTTATAAAAGTTTTTTTTTATTTTTCTTAATTTAATTTGAAATCAGTAGCTAGATACTTTTCACCAATGAATTTTAGTTTAGAGAAAAAATAAATAAATAAACATATTAGAAAAATACAATAAACTAAGAAGAAATATTTTATTATGAGATTCTTTTTAATATCTCAGTTTAATGTTGTCAAACGTCGTTTTCAATTAACTTCAAAAAATTTGTTTACATTTAGATTAAATAATTTTACAAAGCAATATAAGTTTATCATTGTTTCTCTGAGAATAGATTGTTTTTCTTTTTTATTTCTATTTTTTCGAAGTTTCAAAAACGCATCTCAACGAAAAAAAGATTATATTATTAATCAATAGTTATTTAAAATTTGACATTCTATTGTTTTTACTATAGATATCTTAAAATATTATCCAATGTAAAAGTGAACTATTCGATGATAACAAAATATTTTTCTAATAATTAAAAAGTGAAACTTTTATATTACGCTAGACATAAAAATTTTCTTTCAATTTTCATCATTTATTTAATGAAAAGATAAAAAAGAAACAATTTTAAAAATGACTAGATCTTGTCATGCAAGGCTATCTCTTCTCCATACATTTCATCAAATATTTACTTACCTAGTAGTTCGATATACTCTTGTTTAAATTTATAAAATAGAATCTAATCTTCTTTCATTTATCATGTTATTCCTTACATGAATTAGTTTTATTTAATTAAAGAGTAATTAGTTGATATCTTTAATTATATAAGAAAAAAATTTGAAAATTTCAGGATACGAGCTTTATCTATGACGATATTTTTGGGAAAAGTCTCAATCTAAAAGTTATCAGAAAAATTCCTTTTATAGAGATATTGAGCAAAGTTCTCTACAATTTGTCATTGATTTCGAATTTGTTCTTCGATTACAGGAGCACTTCCAGTTTGTATTTGTAGTCCATCACATCGCTAACGAATGATTTAGCTCAAAGAATCAATATCATATCATTTAATATTTATGGAGTTTTTTGTTAGAAAACAGTATCCATAATCTAAAATGCTTTTTATTATCTTCATTCATGTATACAATTGATGTATGATGATCAAATTGTACTACTTCTTCAGGGTGTGGGTGAGTGTGGGTGCGGTTGTGGGTGTGAGAGTGAGGGTGTGGGTAGGGTGTGGATGTGGGTTAAAGAAGTAAAACAAATCCACACCCAAAAGATGCGCTATGAAATTCTCTACAAAACCATAATTAAAGTTATTTCTGTAGAAAGTTCAGGAGAAAAGCTAAATGAATATTATTCAAAACATAAAAAGTGTCCAACTTTCAAAGCTAGCGAGTGTCTCATGCATGCTTGCTATTTGCATACCGTTTTTAATTATCAAGCAGGGTGCATTTTAAAAACAAAGTACAGGGTGGATGTGGTGTATCGGTGTGGATGTATGCGTGTAGATGTGTAGATAGACATGTATTTTCATCCACACCCACACCCTTGTGGTAGAATATAGTTATGAAGTTATAACCAATTCTGACACTAAAACTTTATTTCTTCTATAAAAAAAAAACCCACCTGCAAAGGGTTAACATTGAGTTAAAAATAGTATTTCTGACAGTCAAATTGCTGTTTCCGAAAAGGTTCAGACTGAATCAAGACGAAGATTCTTGATTTTCTCGTCAATTGAATAGTAACTTCATTCGGTTGTCACTTTCCAGAGATGGATGGTTCGGGAGAAGACAAATGTTTTTTGTCATTAAACAAAATGAATATTCACTCTATATTCATCAACTGACAGAGCGATCTATCGAAAATCTCCAATAAACAGAGCGACATATACGAAAGCAGGATAACAATGGTGAGCAAGTTGTTTCTCTCACATATATATTTTACAAATCTTGTGTTCAGAGGTGCATAACAGAATCCTTTTTTCTTATCTCCGGCTCGATATTTTATCAGAAATCATCTGACTTGAAGTCGTTTTTTAACTGTCACACTAGATCAATTGGGATAGCTTTAAGGCAAGACCTTGAAGAAGTCTAACAGAGATTACATCGATTCAAATGTTTGAAGAGAATTTTCAGTCTTTTAACCTACTTCATTATCAACGCCCTCTGATGTCAAAAGGTCAATACCTCCATCGTTTGACAGCTTAGCTGTTGTTATTGTTCATTTGATTTTGTGTTTCAAATTTGACTGATGAAATAAAGAAAGAAGTCGATTATCTTGTCAAAATATAACACTGTTACACATAAAAGAGTTTAAAATTTTTCTGAGAAGAATGAAGCTAGATACTCTTTATTTTTGTCTCATCATTTTGATGCTGGTGAGTAGAACTAAATAGTCATATAGAAAAATATATGCATGCGTTGCACGTCTCTATTCCGCTAAGACATTGCTCTATAAATTGGTTAATTCAGTATTGAGACACGAGGATATAGATAAAGTTGACACATGAGAACCATTCTTTCATCTCTTGTAAAAACATGTAAAAGTACCAGAGATCGTCGAGAACAAATTGTTTATCGTGGTATAACTCTCACGGATGAGATAATCGAAGAATACAGACAAACTGTTGACACTTTAATTAGATGGTTAGTATTTACTGTTACATCAACAGATCATCGAGTAACTGAACTTTACTTAGATAATACATTATTTATCATTGCTTTACAAAGCATTTTTCCTTTCGACTCTCGATGTGTAATATCTCCGCTCTCTCCCACAATATGCTGATGAACAAGAAGTACTATTTACAACTTGGTACAGATTTCAAGTGGAAAAAGTTGATCGTGATATAGCAAGTTGAAAATATTTAATATGAATGAGAATGTGAATCTGTGATTAGAAAATGGTTCATTACTATCGTCAGAAACACATGTTTAATTGAGAAGAGAAAGGTATACATTGGACTTGATCGATAGTTTGATTCTACATGGCCAAATTTCAAATCATGAATGTATTGAAGAAGCACTAGTTTCACTTGTTATAGCGCTCTTCAACGAGGCGGTGCTGGTAGAGGAAGCTTTTATTAGTGTGCAAGAGAACCTTTTAGAAAAGCTCTCCCGTGTATGATATGTATATCTAAATTAGAAAAAAAAATGTGATGTCTAACTTTCTTTTCAGCATAAAATTCACAAAGAAAAGAAAACTGAAACTACGAGAGTTTCGATGTCTTTTCTTTTGATAGAATGACCTGCAGCTTTCTCAACGACTAAAAACTTCATTACTCTAATTGTCTCTGTGTCGACTTGTTCTTTGACATGTACTGCCATTCCACTTCACTTGTGTCTTTATCAGGATGTTGATAACTAAACATCGTGTCCTCCTTTACTTGGTCAGTTGTCTTCCCAACGATATCCTGTAAAAGAGCCCACTCTCCAAGACAACTTTCCAATCCAATCTGTCTCTGTGGTTTACCAAATTGTTGTGGCTGATCAAAAGTACCTAGACAAATATCAATAACCGGCTTCTGGTTGGACTGGTATGCCAAAGGAGTACCACAATGAGCACAGAAGAGACGATGGGCAATTGATGAACTTTGAAATGAGGCGACAGAGCCACGTGTCCATTGGAAGTCTGTCAAGTTAACAACGACAAAGACGCCAGAGGGGGAGCCGAGTGCTTTCTGACACATACGACAATGACAGATAGTAACAGGATGAGAAGGAGGTGCAAATATGGAGTAGCGAATTGAACCACATTGACAGCCGCCGGTGTGAAGTGGTGTACGGGCATCCATTTTGTGACTATAAACGAGGGTTAAGCAATGAAAAAGACAAAGTTTATTTCGTTTCGACACACAGTGTAATGATTGTGTTTCTTTTTCTTTGTATACACAAGTGATGAGAGCAGAAAACAGAACAGAAAGAATCGTGTAAAGGGATAAGAAAGAAATATGCAAAAGCAATCGAATACATCTGCTTCCAAAATGCAGAAAAGCCCATAAGAATACAAAGGCTTCTGCCCCTTCTCAAAATACAGCCTAGAGTGTCAGCTGAAGATAATCGTTGTATAATTTATTTCCATAAATAAGAAAAGTTTTCTTCGGCAATTTCTAGGCCTTTATTTTTATTTGAAAACTTTTTCGACATCAATTCTGTTTTGGTCTGTCCTTGTTATTTTGCTTTTACTTGCTGTGAAGACTGTCATAAAGCATAATTGTTATTGCATGTTGAAGTAAATAAAAAAGTTTCAAATAATAGCTTCGCTAGTCTCTCCAAGCGTAAAAGTCTCATCATATTATTGACGAGACTCATACGAACAGTAAAATATTCTTCGATCGTGCTATTGTGCCACGATTGGAAACGCATTCGGCTGTTTACCGGAAGATAGATGAATTCATTTCGTTCATAAACTACAATTCTCGATTCGTTCTACTCGTTGTTACAGTATAAGATGAAATCATGCATCATCATTTTTGAATGTACCTTTCGATTCCATGCAGGACCTGTTCTCTCTTGTTTTTATTTCTTTTCTTACATAACATTATGTTTACACTGACACATTATGCACGCATGGATTTTCTGCATGCATAAGACAGTGTAAATATACAACATGACAGAATACTCGACTGTTCTTTTGTTTTTTTCAAAAAACACTTCAAATTCAACAAAAATCTCTCTCTTTCAATCATGTCGACCTGGCTGTAACATACAACAACATTGGTGGACTGCTTTACTACATGAGAGAGTACTCCATTGCACTGTCGTTTTTCTAGCGTTCTCTTGAAATTGGAAGACATTCACTGCTAGAGAATCATCTATGTTTGCAACTCTACCGTGAGAACATTGATAATACACGAGGAAAATTGTAATATCAGTTGTACAACACCGCAATAAAGGGTCACACGGCCTCGTAAATCACACAGAGGTCGTAATTCATTACTTAGTTGAACGCTGATTTCGTTCAAGGGTCAGTTAAGAGCAAATCGAGCAGCAAACTGATGATGTTTCGACTCGGATTGTTTAGCAACGAGA